AAAAAAAACAAACCCAGTTTTACTTAAGAATGTCCTTAATGAAGCAACAAAAATAATGAATTTTATTAAATCTCAAGCCCTGAGTATGTATCTTTTCAATATTCTATGGGATTAAATGGGAACTATGCATAAAGCATTTCTGTATACAATTATGGCAACTGTCTCTAGGAAAATCTCGTGTGTTTTGAACTGCAAGCTGAACTAGCTGTCATTTTTAAAAAGAAGGAATGACAGGAAAACTATGTATTTATGATATTTGACAAACATTTTCTCAAAAATAAAGGAAGTCTATATCAAGGAAAATAACTATGGTAACAGTATTTGTTGTCAATAAAATTTGAGCTTTCAAGCAAAAATGAGAATTGTATCCATCATCATGAACTTGATAGCTTCCCAAATCTGATGAAATTGGTAGTGTTATTAACAGAAGCGATATGAAAGACCAAAATTTTCCAAATGACCAATTCACGATGCTAAAAAACTACGCTTGGGTAAAAGACCCATTTAAAGTGCAGGATCAATCAATGAGATTTTAATGTAGCAGAGTACAAAACGTTCATGAATACGATTACAGATTCTACACTGAAATAACTTTTATTTATTTTTGTTTTGCTTGACTTTGTTTTTATATATATATTTTTGCTTTTTTTTTTAATGCATTTTAGGTTTTGGGGTACATGTGAAGAACATGCAAGATAGTTGCATAGGTACACACGTGGCAGTGTGATTTGCTGCCTTCCTCCCCTTCGCCTATATCTGGCACTTCTCCCCAACTCCCCACCCCCCGCTGTCCCTCCCCTATTCCCCCCAACAGACCCCAGTGTGTAGTGCTCCCCTCCCTGTGTCCACGTGTTCTCATTGTCCAATACCCGCCTATAAGTGAGAACATGCGGTATTTCATTTTCTGTTCTGTGTCAGTTTGCTGAGAATGATGGTCTCCAGGTTCATCCATGTCCCTACAAAGGACACGAACTCATTGTTTTTGATGGCTGCATAGTATTCCATGGTGTATATGTGCCACATTTTCCCTGTCCAGTCTATCATTAATGGGCATTTGGGTTGGTTCCAGGTCTTTGCTATTGTAAACAGTGCTGCAATGAACATTCGTGTGCATGCGTCCTTATAGTAGAACGATTTATAATCCTCTGGATATATACCCAGTAATGGGATTGCTGGGTTAAATGGAATTTCTATTTCTAGGTCCTTGAGGAATCGCCACACTGTCTTCCAAAATGGTTGAAATAACTTTTAAATAACCATCACTTGTTGAGTGTTAAATACCAAAGAAAAATATCCATAATTATCTGAAAAGGCTATTAAAGTATTCCTCCTACCTTTTCTAACTACACATCTGTGTGAGGCTAGATTTTCTTCATATATTTCTTTTTTTTTTTTTTTTTGAGACAGAGTTTTGCTCTTGTTGCCCAGGCTGGTATGCAATGGCTCGATCTCAGCTCACTGCAGACTCTGCCTCCCAGGTTCAAGTGATTCTCCTGCCTCAGCCTCCTGAATAGCTGAGATTACAGGTACGCGCCACCACGCCCAGCTAACTTTTTGTATTTTTAGTAGAAACGGAGTTTCTCCACGTTGTTCAGGCTGGTCTCGAATTCCCAACCTCAGATGATCTGCCCACCTCAGCCTCCTAAAGTGCTGAGATTACAGACATGAGCCACTGCTCCTGGCCTTCTTCATATATTTCAACTAAAACACCACATCACAATAGATTACAAAGGCAAGTATTAATAGATATGATAATTGCCTTATATTAAGTTGGACATCAGAAGGATTTTCTAAAATGTAAAGCACTGGCTGGGCGCAGTGGCTCATGCCTGTAATTCCACCACTTTGGGAGGCCGAAGTGGGCAGATTGTCTGAGCTCAGGAGTTTGAGACCAGCCTAGACAATATGGTGAAACAACATCTCTAGTAAAATACAAAAAAAAAATTAGCAGGGCATTGTGGCATGTGCCTGTAGTCCCAGCTACTCAGCAGGCTGAGGCAGGACAACTGCTTGAACCCCGGAGGCGGAGGTTGCAGTGAGCTGAGATGACAACACTGCACTCCAGCCTGGGCGACAGAGTGAGACTGTGTCTCAAAAAAAAAAGTAAATCAATGTCAGCCCTCCCACTATTTTGAAAACATAATTTTTTTCATAAAGTTATTTTGGAATTTGAGTTTATTAGCATCATTTAGAAAAAAATAAGTAGTTTACAAATGTCCCCATTTTCCTTTTTTTTTTTTTCTGAGACAGGGAGTCTAAGCTGGAGTGCAGTGGTACGATCATGGCTCACTGCAGCCTCAACCTCCCATGTGATTCTCCACCCCAGCATTTCAAGTAACTGGGACCACAGGCACGTGCCACTATGCCCACCTGGCTAATTTCTGTCTTTTGTTTTTACTGGAAATGAGGTCTCAGGCTAGTCTCAAACTCCTGAGCCCAAGTGATCTTCCCACCTCAGCCTCCCAAACTGCTGAGATTACCAAAGTGTGAGCTACTGGCCGGGTGTGGTGACTGACGCCTGTAATCCCAGCACTGTGGGAGGCCGAGGCAGGCAGATCACAAGGTCAGGAGTTCATGACCAGACTGGCCAACATGGTGAAACCCCGTCTCTACTGAAAAATACAAAGATTAGCTAGGCATGGTGGCTCATGCCTGTAATCCCAGCTACTTGGGAGGCTGGGGTAGGAGAACTACTTGAACCGGGACCTGGGAGGCAGAGGTAGCAGTGAGCTGAGACTGCACCACTGCACTCCAGCCCGGGCTACAGAACGAGACTCCATCTCAACAAAAAAAAAAAAAAAAAAAAAAAAAAGTGTAAACTACCACACCTGGCCACAGTTTTAATTTCTAATACGGTAAATGTTGAAAGATATAGCCCACATAAACAAAAACTATTTGGGGTCCTCAGTAAGTTTTCACAGGGCAAAAGGATTCTGAAACCAAAAAATTTGAGAACTACTGACATAGGTATCATAATAAACACTAAATATGAATTTAACCACAATCATTAAATATTACTTTAGAAAGCTAAAAGAGAAGCAGAGCTCATCAAAATGGTTAACAAAAAACAAATGTGGGCCAGGGGTGGTGGGTTATGCCTCTAATTCCAGCACTTTGGGAGGCTGAAGCAGACGGATCACTTGAGGTCAGGGGTTCAAGACCAGCTTGGCCAACATGGTGAAACTCCCTCTCTCCTAAAAAAAAAAAAAAATCAAAAAGTAATTAGCCAGGCATGGTGGCACATACCTGTAGTCCCAGCTACTCGGGAGGCTGAGGCAGGAGAATCAGTTGAACCTGGGAGGCGGAGGTTGCAGTGAGCCGGGACTGCACCACTGTACTCAAGCCTGAGACAGAGTAAGACTCTATCTCAGAAAAACAGAAATGTGCTTTAAGTTACTTGCCAGAAATAAATGCTCTGACGATCTCTATTTACTTATCTAACACAAACATCATTTCCTTCTAACCAGAAATATCTATCTTCCTTACTGAACCATGACCTCCAGAGATGCTGTCTCACCTCCATAACCCAAGGCCTGATCACAAGCATCAAATAGCAAATATTAACTAATAATTATTTGACTCAGTGAATGAATAAATGAATGAGCTAGCCCAATTTACAAAATTAAGTCATACTCACCAAATGGCTGTTTCTTCTATTTTTAAAAACCTATATACAGCAGCACTGGAAAGTCATGTTCATTTTTTTTTTTTTTTTTTTTTTTTGAGATGGAGTCTCACTCTGTCACCCAGGCTGGAGTACAATGTTGTAATCTTGGCTCACTGCAACTTCCGCCTCCCAGGTTCAAGTGATTCTCCTGCCTCAGCCTCCCAAGTAGCTGGGACTACAAGCACGCATCACCATGCCTGGCTAATTTTTCATATTTTTAGCAGAGACGGGGTTTCACCATGTCGGCCAGGATGGTCTCTATCTCTTGACCTCGTGAGCCACCAGCCTCCACCGCCCAAAGTGTCAGGATTACAGGCGTGAGCCACCGTGCCCAGGCTACAGTTTTTTGTTTTTTTTTTTTCCTGAGACGGAGTTTCGCTCTTGTTACCCAGGCTGGAGTGCAATGGCACAATCTCGGCTCACCGCAACCTCCACCTCCTGGGTTCAGGCAATTCTCCTGCCTCAGCCTCCTGAGTAGCTGGGATTACAGGCACGCACCACCATGCCCAGCTAATTTTTTGTATTTTTAGTAGAGACAGGGTTTCACCATGTTGACCAGGATGGTCTCGATCTCTTGACCTCGTGATCCACCCACCTCGGCCTCCCAAAGTGCTGGGATTACAGGCATGAGCCACCACGCCTGACCAATTTTGTTTTTTTAATTGGAGACGGAGTCTCGCTCTATAGCCCAGGCTGGAGTGCAGTGACACTATCTTGGTTCTCTGCAACCTCGGCCTCCCAGGTTCAAGCAATTCTCTTGCCTCAGCCTCCCAAGTAGCAGAATTATAGGCACCTGCTACCATGCCTAGCTAATGTTTGTATTTTTAGTAGAGATGGGGTTTCACCATGTTGGCCAGGCTGGTCTTGAATTCCTGACCTCAGGTGATCCGCCTGCCAAGGCCTCCCAAAGTGCTGGGATTACAGGCCTGAGCCACCATGCCCAGTGGAAAGTCATGTTTTCTTAAATCAGTGATTCTATGATTCATACACCACCATTCATTATGTAAATACACAGGAAACCGCATATATACAAAGGAATATATACCCATACTGGCCATTTCTTTGCTTTTTTTATTTTCATGTTCTTCTGCCTTTTATCCAAGCCACTGACCATTTCTTTTCTTACCTGTCATAACTTACAGCAGGCACTCTTCAATTTCAATAATATCAAGACTTTTTCCCTCCTCTTTTCTTCCCTCTTAATATCTTTTGGTCCCTCTGGGGACCAAAACCATTTTGGTATACCATCAACCATTTTTAGTATACCATGACCAACAAAAGACCTCTGACAGCTCCCAGAACTTAGAGACAAACCAAAGGAACACAAGCTTACCAATAGTATGATTTCCATAAAGGAGCTGCTCCAAAATTGCAGTTTTCCCCACAGATAACAATCCACAAACCACAACCTTGCAGCCCTTTCCCATCTTCTCTCAGGATATCACTGTGGGGAGAACAGAAATCGCATACTGTTGAAATCAACCTATTCCTTTTCTTTCAATATTTCAATTTAATATGTAACACATGCACAGGGGAAATTTTCAAATATAGAAAAGGAGATATAGAATAACGTACAGCCTTCCAAATCCCATTCCCCAGTCTCCCATTTGCTCCCTTAGAGCAATAAGCATTATCAGTTTCTTATATATGTCACAGAGACAATGTAGATAAATATAATAATAAAGGCCGGGTAAACTCACACCTGTAATCCCAGCACTTTGGGAGGCCAGGCATGTGGATCATCTGAAGTCAAAAGTTCGGGACTGGCCTGGCCAACATGGTAAAACCCCTTCTCTACTAAAAATATAAAAATTAGCTGGGTGTGGTGACATGAACCTATAATCCCAGCTCCTCAATAAGCTGAGGCAGGAGAATTGCTTGAACCCAGGAGGTGGAGGTTGCAGTGAGCTGAGATTGCACTTCGCTCTAGCCAGGATGAAAGAGCAAAATGCTGTCAAAAAAAAAAAAAAGAAAGGAAGGAAAAGATTACATGGATATGAATACATCTTTGTTCAAAAAGAATAAATACATTTTATATTAAGAATATTTCAATACTGATTAAGCCTACAGGAATCCAACAGACTCTTAAATCCTCGAAAAAGACTCCCTACTCATCAATGTTTACCTAGAAAAATAAACATTTAAGTAAAAATTTAAGGAGGCATGAAGATAAAATTTTTAGAGAATGGGCATGATGTTTTAAACAAATATTAATTAGTTTATGTCAGTCTTTTCTCAGGAGAGGAAGAAACTGGATTTTGGTAGTCACGTGAGCTTTTTTTTTTTTTTTTTGAAACAGAGTCTAGCTCTGTCACTCAGGCTGAAGTGCAGTTGCAAGATCTCAGCTCACTGCAACCTCCACTTCCCGAATGCAAGCAATTCTCCTGCCTCAGTCTCCCAAGTAGCTGGGATTACAGGCACCCGACACTATGCCCAGCTAAATTTTTATATTTTTAGTGGAGACGGTGTTTCACTGTGTTGGCCAGGATGGTCTCACCCCTGACCTCAAGTGATCCACCTGCCTTGGCCTCCTAAAGCGCTGCAATCACAGGTATGACCTACTGCACCTGGCTGTCACGTGGGCTTTCTTAGTCACACTTCTTTTTGAGGAAGAACAGACAACACTAGAAAAACTGCCCACGCACTTGAAACTGGAAAGAAAAGGAAAATTAATCTCTCCTAGCCTCTCAACTTATAACTAAGAAAGAACAAGGTTAGGCGACATTTCCTTCAATTTTCCTCAAGGCTGCTTTCCAGAACGCAAGGTACCAGAAGTCAAGGCAGAAAGTAAAAAGGGATCTTTAAATACAACAGAATAATTTGACAAAGAATTCAAATTTCTACATTGCTGTTTGCCATCTCCCACTACCTCCTTATTTCTCCCAATTCTCTGCTTACTTAGAAATGAACATGTTATAAACCAGGCTAAAAGGGACACCACAACTCCTTGCAGTCAAAAACAACTCTAACGCCAAGCATGGTGGCTAACGCATGTAATCTCAGCACTTTGGGAGGCCAAGGTGGGTGGATCACCTGTGGTCAGAAGTTTGAGACCAGCCTGGCCAACATGATGAAACCCCATTTCTACTAAAAATACAAAAAATAGCAGGTGTAGTGGCAGGCGCCTCTAATCTCAGCTACTCGGGAGGCTGAGGCAAGAGAATCGCTTGAACTGGGAGGTGGAGGTTGCAGTGAGCTGAGATCATGCCAGTGCACTCCAACTTGGGGAACAAAAATGAAACTCCGTCTCAAAATAAAAAATAAAATATAATAAAAAAAGAACTCTAACAAGAAAGTTCATGGCCCAGCGTGATGGCTCATGGCTGTAATCCCAGCAGTTTGGGAGGCTGAGGTGGGCAGAATATTTGAGGTCAGGAGTTTAAGACCAGTCTGGCCAACATGGTGAAACCCTGTCTCTATTAAAAGTACAAGACATTAGCTAGTGTGGTGGTGGGCGCCTGTAATAATCTTTATTCGGGAGGCTGAGGCAGGAGAATCGCTTGAACCTGTTGAGGCAGAGGTTGCAGTGAGCTGAGATGGTACCACTGCACTCCAGCCTGGGCAACAAGTGAAACTCCATCTCAAGGAAAAAAAGGTTTTAAATAAGCATTCTGACAAAAGGAATGCTGGGTATCTTTCTGCACTCATGTGCTCACTGGACTGTGAGAACAAAAACCCAACACAGAATGCACATTTTTTTTTTTAGAGACGAGGTTTGGCTATGTTGCCCAGGCTGGAGGCTATTCACAGGTATAATAACAATACAATACCACCTACAACTCTTGGGTTCAAGAGATCCTCTTCTGCTCACCACATCAGCTACAGAAAAAAAAAAAAAAAATATGGCCGGGCGCAGTGGCTCAAGCCTGTAATCCCAGCACTTTGGGAGGCTGAGGCAGGTGGATCACGAGGTCAAGAGATCGAGACCATCCTGGTCAACATGGTGAAACCCCGTCTCTACTAAAAATACAAAAAATTAGCTGAGCGTGGCGGCGCGTGCCTGTAATCCCAGCTACTCAGGAGGCTGAGGCAGGAGAATTGCCTGCACCCAGGAGGCGGAGGTTGCAGTGAGCTGAGATCGGGCCATTGCACTCCAGCCTGGGTAACAAAAGCAAAACTCTGTCTCAAAAAGAAGAAGAAGAAAAAAATACATATATATATATAGTTGTCCAGGCTGGAGTGCAGTGGCGCAGTCTTGGCTTACTACAACCTCCAACTCCTGAGTTCAAGCGATTCTCCTGCCTCAGCCTCCCAAGCAGCTGAGACTACAGGTGCATACCACCATACCTGGCTAATATTTGTATTTTTAGTAGAGATGGGGTTTCACCACGTTGGCCAGGCTGGTCTCAAACTCCTAACCTCAAGTGATCCACCTGCCTCAGCCTCCCAAAGTATAGAATACATCTTAATGGTGATAGTCTAATAGTGACATTTGCATGCATGTGTGTTGCACAGTAATACTGTTTTGTTTTGTTTTGTTTTTACCAACACTGGAAACATTACACCACAAATAAATTTCCTCAAGTCTTCTCTACTGTATTTTCTGTCTGTAATTTTTTAATGACCCAAATCACCCACCACACTAATCTCATAAAAAATTTCCCACTGCCATTTTTGTAGCACAGTAATACACAGCATTTATTTTCAAAGTAGTACACTGCACTTTACCAACAGACAACTAGCCATCACTTATGTGATACAACCATTATTTCATGGGTGGCATACTTCAGATTCTAAATCTTCTAAGAGTATTTTTACCACTGGCTTCCATGAGAATCACTTCTCTTAGGGGACTTTCTTTTCTTTATATATTTTCAACCTAACCACAATAGAAAAATTCTCAGCCTTTATTTATAAGTGCAGAGCATTATGTGACATTGCTCATCTATGATATGATATTTCCTACGTCTGCATCAACAGCCTATTTTAAAAGGTTTTCTACAGATACCTGTGAATTTATGATTAATTTAATGTCACTTCATTTATCAAAGGACTCTCCTCTCTGCCTACTGTGATTTCTTTATAAGTTATGATACCACTGAATCTTTCCTTAAAACGATTTTTTAAAAATAATAGTTAAAATTTAAAGGAAACTGCCATGTAGGCACATGAGAAGAGTCTGAAAAAGAAATAAATCTCCTAGAGGGTGGGAAAAATGACAGCACAGCACGATTCTGTCAGAAAAGGCTGCTGTGGAATCTAAATCCTAATTTTTATATTGTTATTTCTATTTCTCTGAAAATATCTTACCCTCAGTGGAATTTCTAAATATCAGTTTTTACTACTCTTCCTTTCCTGCTCAATTGAAAAAATGCACCTTAATCCACACATTATGCCAATCTTCAAAACACTCAAAAACAGAGGCTGGGTGCAGTGGATCACATCTGTAATCTCTACACTTTGGAAGGCCAAGGTGGGTGGACTGCTGGAGCCAGGAGTTTGAGACTGGCCCAGGCACCACATCAGGACTCTCTGTCTCTTTGAATTTTTATATATATATATATATATAAACTCAAGAGGTCAGCAACATACTGCAGCTGAGTGAAACAGGTAGCTCTAAGGAAAAAAATGCCCAATGATCAACAGCAACAGACCCTCTGTAAAAAAGAGGCAACTATGAGCGCTGGGGCCTATAGCAAACTGGAAAAATCTGACACCAATAGAAACCTGAGAAATTCAGAAATTAAGTTTTCCAAAGTACCTTTGGAAGTAATTTTACTATATCTGCTTTAAAAGTAGTACACTACAATTCTACTTTGTTCACTGGTTAATAGGATTAACAGACAAGGTTTGCTAAAAATTACATATTGTTTTGTATTGTGTGTATATGAGTTAATTGGGGAGTTCATTTTGATATCACCAAAGAAGTCTTCATCATGAGCAAACAGTAAAAGTAACTGAATAAAGGTAGCTCAAAACACTAGCTAAGGATTTCAATAATTTTTTGGAAAGAAAGGGAAGAGACAGAACAGACTTCAGTAATAATCTTTTACACTATCAAAAAGAAAACAAAGATGAAAAGATAAGTGTGATTAATCAAAGCATGGCTGAAATAGTCTAGGTTCCTGGTTGCCTTCCAAATAGGAAACAATACTACATAAAGCAGATTAGTGACTTGTTACCATCAATTACAAAGTAAGAATTCTTTAAAAAATAATAAACGGCTGGGCACAGTGGCTCACGCCTGTAATCCTAGCACTTTGGGAGGCCGAGGTGGATCACCTGAGGTCAGGAGTTCAAGACCAGCCTGGCCATCATGGTGAAACCCCATCTTAAAAAATAATAATAAACATTTTGAATGACAGACACACAAAAATACTTTATTTTCTGTATATGATAACTATGGCAGGAACTCACATTACAAATAAGTGATTCTCATGCTTATTTTCACATTTTCAAATAAAAACTACTAAAAGTGTGGGTCTTTAAGCATTTACAATTATTTTCTAATTCCCAAACACAATAAATGTGCACCACTTCCTGCGAAATATAAAAAGGTGGTCGTCTGCAGAACCCTGAATGGGTACTGAATCACGTGAACCGATCCTGGGGTAATCAAGCCTCTTAATTAAATCTAGGTTTCAAGAATTTGAAAGGCTCTGCAGTACATGGATGACCTTTAGGCTTCTTTCAACACTGTGACACTATGATATTAGAAACTGCTTATCCACAGAATACATCAACACTGAGGTGAACACAAAAAGCAGTAGTTACAGCTACTTGCCACATCCCTACCCTCAGAAACGGGGCAAAAACATTCCATCTGTGAACTATTAAACCTCATCTGATGTAAATTACTAAGAGAATGTGCTTAATAGGCAAGAGCAGTCTTAAATACATACTGCTTTACTTTCCAGGCCAATCAACAACCTTGCTAGACAATAAATACAATTTCCTCTCTCCAACTTGAGGCAAAAAAAAAAAAAAAAAAAGAAAGAAAGAAAAACAGAGAATATGTGGCCTCAACCACTCCTGTGAAATGCTTTGTCAACATCCTCTCTGAACAGCCATCAGAAACAGCTCCCCAGAACTGTTAGTGCTTCTGTTCCTCTATGTAAGGGCGTCATTCTATTTTTATAAGTAAAACACAACTCTCTGATGCAACCAGAAAAACATAAATACCAAAACAGTTAACATCATAGGAGAGATGTTACAAATCTCTAAAAACACTGTCATGTGGGGAAGCCACCTACACTGTGTACTTACTTATGTCAACATTACATATGGAGTGGAATACTCTTACTTATCCATATATTCAACAGGTTTTGCACACAATATTGCACAAAATAACATGTAATACGCAGATTCTAGCTTACCATTCTTTCATTTACCAAACATTTACTGAGGGCCTACCATCATGCCAGGCATCAGGGGCAAAAACGCAAATCAACCCTTGTCCTCTGGAATCTCAAAATCCATTGGAAACACAAATCCAAATCTTGTAAAACTGCTAACTGAGCAACTACAAATTGAGAAACAAAACTGCAAACCTGATTGATAAATCAGCAATGATTATTCACACTGCCAGAATCGTTTTTCCAAATGATCCATCCAAGTTTTATTTTTCATTATATTTTATTTTGCAGGACTACCCCCATAGGCAGTGTGCCTAGAATAGCTCATTCAACTTTTTAGTGTGTCATCCTAACCTCTGAAATACATACAGGGCTGCACTGCTTACCATTTTTATCACTACTGAAGTGGGCCCAGTGAGGCACCAAGTTCTCTCACCTGGTCTCTCAAAGACGTCGTAATCTCCCAAACCTGTGAATACGTTACTTTACATACTAATGCAAAAATTTCACAGGTGTGATTAAGAACTTCCAAATGAAGAGTCTGAATTATCCAGGTGCGCCCACTGTAATCACAAGTGTCTTTACAAGAGAGACACAGGAGTGCTAGAGAGGGCAGAGGGTGTGATTTGAAGATGCTCTTCTGCTGGCTCTGAAGATGAAGGAAGCAGTCAGGAGCCAAGAAATTCAGGCAGGCTTCATAAGGTGGGAAAGCCAAGGAAATACATGTATTCTCCCCTAGTACTTCCAGAAGGAACAGAGCCCTACTACTACCTTGATTTACAGACCTAGTCTGATCTACAGACTTAGACTTATTTAGACGGTAAATTTGTGTTGTTATGAACCAACAAAGTTTCTGCAATTTCTTACAGCAGCAATGGAAGACTAACACAATCTCCTAAGCAGTTTCTCTGCTTCCATTTTTTTCTTTCCTTTTAGCATCAAAAGGAGCAATCCAAATTATCTTTTTAAAATGCAAGCCGTATGAAGTCATCCTTCTGCTCAAAATCTTCCAATGAAATCCAAAGTCCATGCAAGAAACTTCACCGCTCTGACGTAATTTCCCACTTTCCTCTACACTTCGTGTTTTCCTGCGACACAGCTTCCCTGCTGTTCCTCTTATTAATCTGCACGCTCCAGTCTTGGCACTTTTCCCTCTGCCTGAATCAGTCCCCACTCTTACTCCTAGACTCTTATCTTTTGAGGTCCTATCTTAAATGCTGCCTTCTCTAAAAGACTTCACCTGGACATTCCATCCCAAATGGCAAGCCCCCGCCCCGTAACACTCCCTCATCGCTTCCCTCCCTTTAGCGTATTTCCTTAGCATTTACCAGCAACCCCAATACACAGCTTACTTCTGCCTGGTGCCCGTTTCCAAGAAGGCCAAAATTTCTGCGTTTGCTGCTGCAGCCCTAGCAGCTATGCCTGGCACGTATTAGACACTTAATATTTCTTGAATCAATCAATGAACCAGATGGGGACTCTTAAAAAGGTAAGGCTGTGATTTAAAAATACAGAAAACTATGATGTAGGGAAAAAAGATAATCAAAACCGCTGCGACTAAGAGATACGATTCTCTTCAACCTTTGCCACATTTGAACGCATAATCTGGAAGGAAATTAAAACCACATGACTGTATCAAAAATGAAAATATTCTGGAGAAGCAAAATAAGCCAGTAACCTATTTCTCAATTTAAAAAAAAAAAAAACGCAACGCAAAATGCCAGCATTTTCTCGGCGTTTCTTCCCTAAAACATTCACAACTGCCAAGACCTGTTTAGGTCTTGGAAAATAAATATTTTGCTTTTCTGAAAAACTGTGGTTCTGATGTTAGCAAATTTGGGACGAAATCCGTATGCAGAAAAACCGCCCAGCTGCCCGCAATCCACCCACTCCGTGACCCTTTTTAGGACAAAAATCCCTGGGAGCTGGGGCCTGAGAGCGCGTCACACAGACTGGAGCTGAAGGGACGCAGTGAGCGCCCCCATCCGCGTTGCCCCCGGCTCCGCAAAGGCCTCCCTGGGGGGCTGGGAAAGCGTTGAGGGGTCTTAGCGCAGCGCTGGGGCCCAGATTTCTCCGCCTGTCATGCGGGGGCAGGAGAGGGACAGAGTAGCTTGGAGAAACCCGCAGAGACTCCGCAGGGGGAGACCGCGGTGCGCGAAACAAACCTGTTCTCTCCTCCGACCTCGAAGACACTGGCTCCACCGCGGCCCGCGGCCACCGGCTTTGGAGCCTGGAGCCCAACTTGCTTCCTCCCGCTGCGGGATCTTAGCCGACACTCGCTTGCCGGCCGAGGCCTCGCAGCCAACTCTCTCACCCTTCGAGACGCCCAGGCCGCTCAGGCTCAAATCCTGCGGAGTAGGGGACGGGACAATCGGGACGGCTGCGCGCCACTCGGCAGAACTCCGCCCACCAGGCGCGATGCCGGAACTACATGTCCCATGAGGCTCTGGGAGGCCGCAGCTTTCCACCGGAAAGAGATTGGCTGAGGTGGGGGAGGAGCCCAAAAAGGATTGTGGGAGTACAGCTCTTTCCTTTTCGTCTGGTGGCAGCCATCAGGTAGGCTGAGTTGGGAATCTGCTCTTCCATCCGCCTTTTATCGTGTTCGTCTTCAGCCATCCAGGCTCGGGGACCCTGCATCCTCGGAAATAGGTCTCCCTCCTCTCCGACAAGAGTTGGTCAGGATGCGGGACAGCGAGGGGGTGGAGAGGCGCCCCCCGGGGTGGGTTGGGCGAAGATATGATGGCGGCGCGAATTCGAGCTGGGCCCGGAGCCTGGAGGAGGCGTGAGGCTGACGGATGTGGCGCCCGGAACAAGGCAGCCTAAGTGAGGCTGCTGGTTGGATGGGGTAGATGCATTTTCCTCGAGAGTTAATCCTCCGTGGCGGCAGCAGTACCTTGCCCTGTGGTGTCAGAGACATCTCCTTGCAGGTCCGCCTTGGGGACGCCGCCTGCCGCAGCCACCCGCCCCCTCGGTGCTCAGCTCTAGTTCTATTGATTCCCCCCACCAAAACGTGCCGAGCGCCACTCCGCGTCGCAGTTGCGGAGGTGACTGAACGCGGCTCCGTGGGCGCTGCTGTGGGGGTTGGGCTAGCTGTCCCCGGCGGTTGGTGCCGAGCCGTTTTCATTCCCGCGGTGTCCTTGTGCTTGTTGGGGAACTAAGATGGACGGGAAGGGTCGTCGTCTTACTGTACTTAAAGCGGATGATATCTAATGCCCAGTCTGATTACGCAGGTAAGCCAAGATGGGTGCATACAAGTATATCCAGGAGTTATGGAGAAAGAAGCAGTCTGATGTCATGCGCTTTCTTCTGAGGGTCCGCTGCTGGCAGTACCGCCAGCTCTCTGCTCTCCACAGGGCTCCCCGCCCCACCCGGCCTGATAAAGCGCGCCGACTGGGCTACAAGGCCAAGCAAGGTACGTGATCGACTGCGTGGATGCTTGGATGAAACTATTCGAGAAAAGTTGGAAACTAACTGTTAGGAAGACACTGTCGCCCCGGTGTCTTTCTTCGGATAGGGCTTTGGCGAAAGAGGTAGCAACACTGGTCAGTTAAGGAATGCACCGTTGTCTAAAGTGGCAGGTGTGTTAAAGATTACAAATTTTAATGAGTTTAAAGCAGAATCAACAGTGTGCCTCCTGTGTGATTAATTGAAAAATACTGGAATGTGGTTTTTTTTTTCCATTAATAGCAGTAGCTTACTCTTGAAGTATTTTTGGTGCAGTGTTAGTAACAAGCCATTGAGTCTTGGCTTCCTATAAAGTCCCTAATTTTGTGTGTGTTTGTGTGTAGGTTACGTTATATATAGGATTCGTGTTCGCCGTGGTGGCCGAAAACGCCCAGTTCCTAAGGGTGCAACTTATGGCAAGCCTGTCCATCATGGTGTTAACCAGCTGAAGTTTGCTCGAAGCCTTCAGTCTGTTGCAGAGGTAAATGGTTTTAAGTAGCAGTTACATTGAATACTGCTTGGAGATCGTGAGAGAGACAGATCTAAGCAGCTTTTCTGATTGTACTTAGGTGAGCTGTCTCTTGAATAAAACAGGATTTGTGATTTTTATTAATCTTGGTCAAGAGTAATTAATTGCTTGAAAGACTTGTAAATCTTTGTTACAAATGTGTGTGTATAAACTGGAAGTACTTGTGGAACCTAAGCTTTTGAGGCACAGTAAACTTTATCTTAGAACACATTTCCCCAATTGTGTAGAAGCTGCATTTATGTTGCTAATTTTATGTAGTCAGTTGCAGGTTTTCTTCCAGGTTAGTAAATTAAGCTATGTTCTGTTGTAGGCATTGGCAAACTAGGGACTGTCTCCACTAGCTAAAAAATTTTTTGTTTTGTTTCTTAAAGAGTCAGGAATATCCAGAAGAGACCAAATGTGGCCTGCACAGCCTAAAGTACATACTAAATATTGTTAAAGCTGAACATTTCTGAGCTCTCAGTTGTATTGGAAAAAGATAAGGTCCCCAAACCCTAAATTTTGTTAGCCAGATGTTAACATTCGTGCCCTAGTGCAGAATGGAGTGATAAGGGAATGAATGTGTTTCAGTGTATGTTTATGTGTGGTGTTTTAGCATGTCTACTTTATCTCATTATGCTTACTGGAGACAGTCTGGGGAGAGATGCTTAGTAAATACTTGGAACAGTAAAAGACTAGTCTGGTGGTGAACTAGAGGTGAGAAAGTTCTTTCAACTTGCTGCTATAGGCAATGTGGGAGACTGATGGTGGGCCTTTTTTCCTATTCTAGGAGCGAGCTGGACGCCACTGTGGGGCTCTGAGAGTCCTGAATTCTTACTGGGTTGGCGAAGATTCCACATACAAATTTTTTGAGGTTATTCTCATTGATCCATTCCATAAAGCTATCAGAAGAAATCCTGACACCCAATGGATCACCAAACCAGTCCACAAGCACAGGGAGATGCGTGGGCTGACATCTGCAGGCCGAAAGAGCCGTGGCCTTGGAAAGGGCCATAAGTTCCACCACACTATTGGTGGTTCTCGCCGGGCAGCTTGGAGAAGGCGTAATACTCTCCAGCTCCACCGTTACCGCTAATATAAGTAAAGTTTGTAAAATTCATGCCTAATAAACAATTTAGGACAGTCATGTCTGCTTACAGGTGTTCTTTGTTAAAATTAGTCTGCTGATTGTTTCATGAATGCTTTGTCAAATTCAAGTGCAATAATGTTTGAAGACAATACGTGATATGGTGTATGTTTCTAATAAGATAAACATTTTTGTCTTTGCTTTATCTTATTAGGGAGTTCTATGTCAGTGTATAAAACATACTGTGTGGTATAATAGGTTTAAAATAAACTCTTTAAAAGAAAAGTACTGAAACTAGCCCTGTAGATTTGTCTGGTGCATGTGATGAAACCTGCAGCTTTATTGGGGTGCTGGCAATCCTCTGCTGGTTTAAAGTGGCTGGGATTGTTTTTTAGTTTGGCAGGTACAGGCTTTTTAAGTTGGGCTTTGCTTTGGAAATTGTAGGGTGAGAGGAGGACATCTTAACTATGTCATGATTATATTTAGAAAATTAGGGGCACAAATCTGGGTTAGCCTGAAGAAAATTGCCTCAGTCTCCACAGTACCATTTTAAGTTCACATGAAAGCTCCTGATTCAGTGCCAATGGCTTCATGGCATTCGTTGATTACTGGTGATGGTATTAACACTAATGTGTTTTGAAATTGAATGTTAGATAAAATTACTAGCATCCAAGTTGGTAAGCTAGTAATCTGCTGGGGTGGGAAGCCAGCCAGCCAGTGACCATTAGATAATATCAAGTGAGAGCTTAAGAAGTCAACCCTAAAATACTTAAGCATAACACTAATTTGTGATCATGAATCCCTTCAGTCACATTGGTGGGGAAAACAGTTGGTTATAAGTTCCTCATTCTTTGTCCAGTCAGTATTAAAAATAACTTGGGTTACCCGCTCTGTCCACTCTCATAGGCTTAAGGAAAAGTCATACAAGTGTGTGGTTTCCAACCATATGTGTTTTCTGTAGTTACTTTTCTTGTTCCTGGCCAAACTACCCTAAAAATCCTTAGCATTCCACAAAGTTGGGCCATCACCTGTGCGCCCGCTTTGGCTGTAAGCAGTACCACCACGATGCATTTTTGTATCATGTCTTTCCAGAGACTAGGCTACAGTTTTCCAGGGTGAATTTGAGTGTCGAAAAAAAAAGTAGACAAGGAATTGCCCAATTCTAAATTCTGACTGCTGACTTAATTTAAGTGCTCGTTTTTCTGAACCTGTTTTCTCCTATCTTCTCTAGAGGTTTCAAAAGGCTCAGTTAATTGATTTCCAGGAGGTACTTGGCAAGTTCATGAAAGTTCTTGAGACCTAAATTTCTTCTCAAGAAAAGATCTTAATACATTTTGATTGTGTAGAGGTTCAACTAAAGGAATAAATGTCTATTAAACTAAAACCAATGGACCTTCTGTTATTTGTCAACTTCTAGTGCTAATGTATTTTAAAGCAAACCTAGCCAGCAAAAAGGGATCAAAATATGATTGTAGAAATAACAATTTGAGGTAGCATAAAACGTACTTATTCTCTCAGTCCTTTCATCATTGCATGAATTTTAAGTTTTTTATTTTTGAGACAGTCTTGCTCTAAAGGCTGGAGTGCAGTGACATAATCTTGGCTCACCGTAACCTTGCCTCCTGGGTTCAAGTGATTCTCCTGCCTCAGCCTCCCAAGTAGCTGGGACTATAGGCATGCGCCACCATGCCCAGCTAGTTTTTGTATTTTTAGTAAAGATGGGGTTTCACTGTCTTGGCAAGGCTGGTTTCGAACTCCTGACCTCATGGTCTGCCTGCCTTGGCCTCTCAAAGTGCTGGTATTACAGGCCTGAGCCACCACGCCCAGCCTAGGTTTTTATCTAAAACTGTTCAGCTGGGTGCAGTGACTCGGGCCTGTAATCCTAGCACTTTGGGAGATAAATTGGAGGATCTCTTTGAGGTCAGCCTGGGCAACATAGTGAGACCTTGTCTCTATTTAAAAAAAAAAAAAAAAAAAAACATAGCTAAACTGAGAAGGCGAGAAAGGGCTCCAGCCAAAGGTCAGCATGGTCTTACCAGAAAAGCTTGTTCCTGTCCTTACTACCCTACGGTTTTATCTCCACACAGTACACCAAGGGATCCTGTTAAATTGATCATAGCACTCCTGTGCAAAAAAAAAAAAATTCTTAAAATAGATTTTGTGATCTTCCCACTGTGTACGTGTTACCTCATGTCCTACTGCAGTCCTTACCCCAGGCTCCTTGCTGTTCTTCAGATACACCAAACACTTGCTAATGCCTTTATAATGGGAAAACTTTTTTGCGGTATTAATGGTCACTTTACTAGCTATGCCCTGACCACCTCTCAAGCGGTTCACATTTGCTTTAATCTTTTTTCTTTTTTTGAGACAGTGTCTTGCTCTTGTCACCCACACTGGAGTGCAATGGTATGATACCAGCTTACTGCAACCTCCACCTCCCAGGTTTAAGCAATTCTCCTGCCCCAGCCTCCCAAGTAGCTGGGATTACAGGCACCAGCCACCACGCCTGGCTAATTTTTTGTATTTTTAATAGAGATGGGGTTTCACCTTGTTGGTCAGGCTGGTCTTGAACTCCTGACCTCAGGTGATCCACCTGCCTCAGCCTCCCAAAGTGCTGGGATTCAGGCATGAACCACCACACCCAGCCTGCTTTAATATTTCTATATCAGCATGTAATTCACACAGCAACATTGATTATTCAGTTTTTGGTTTCTGAGATTTTTTTTTTTTTGAGACTGAGTCTCACTCTGTCACTAGGCTGCAGTACAGTGGCATGATCTTGGCTCACTGCAACCTCCGCCTCCTGGGTTCAAGTGATTTTCATGCCTCAGCCTCCCAGGTAGCTGGGATTACAGGCATGCACCACCACACCTGGCTAATTTTTGTAATTCTAGCACTTTGGAAGGCCAAGGCAGGCGGATCACTTGAGCTCAGGAGTTTGAGACCAGCTTGGGCAAGAGGACAAAACCCTATCTCTACTAAAAATACAAAAAATTAGCTGGGCATGGTGGCATGCGCCTGTGGTTCCAGCTACTCAGGAGGCTAAGATAGGACGATCACCTGAGCTTGGGAAGTTGAGGCTGCAGTGGGCCAAGACCGTGTCACTGTACCCCAGCCTGAGTGACAGAGTGAGACCCTGTCTCAAATATATATATATATTTATATATATTTAATAAATATATATAAATAAATATACTTTATTATATGATAGCTTGTTTGCTGTATACCCACAAATATTCACTGAAAACTACTTGCTGTGTGCTGTTCAATATGATAGACACTAGGCATCTGTGACTTTTAAAATTTAAGATTTAAAAGTTCTCGGCTGGGCATGGTGGCTCACACCTGTAATCTCAGCGCTTTGGGAGGATGAGGTGGGTGAATCACGAGGTCAGGAGATCGAGACCATCCTGGTTAACATGGTGAAACCCCGTTTCTACTAAAAATACAAAAATTAGCTGAGTGTGGTGGCACATACCTGTAGTCAGTTACTCGGGAGGCTGAAGCAGGAGAATCACTTGAATCCAGGAGGCGGAGGTTGCAGTGAGCCAAGATCATGTCACTGCACTCCAGCCTGGGTGACAGAGTAAGACTCCATCTCAAAAAAACAAAAACTTAGTTCTCCAGTCATATTAGCTCCATTTCAAATGCTCAATGGGCACATTGGCTACAATATTGTACAGCACAGAAAACATTTTGACCATCACAGAAATTTCTGTTATACTGTATAGTGCCAGTTTATTTATCTATGTATTTATTTATTTAGAGACATATTCTTGCTCCGTTGCCAGGTTGGAGTGCAGTGGCGCAATCTTGGTTCACTGCAACTCTGCCCCCCCAGTTCAAGCAATTGTCCCTGTCCCAGCCTCCCGAGTAGCTGGGATTACAGGCACCTACCACCATGCCTGGATAATTTTTGGATTTTTAGTAGAGACAGGGTTTCGCCATGTTGGCCAGGCTAGTCTCGAACTCCTGACCTTAGGTGAGCCGCCTGCCTCGGACTCCCAAACTGCTGGGATTAGAGGTATGAGCCACCACACCCGGCCAAAGTGCCAATTTAGACCTTTGAAATTCTTCTTTCGTCCTTTTTCTTTCTTCTTCCTCCTCTTGCGCCTTCTCCTCTTTCTCTTTTTTCTCCTTCTTTCGTCCTTTTTTCTTTCTTCTTCCACCTCCTCTTGCGCCTCCTCCTCCTCCTCTTCTTTCTCTTCTTCCTCTTCCTCTCCTTCTCTTTACCCCTTCTTCCTCTTTTTTTCAGCAGATGAAGACAAGGCATATGAAGTCTAGTTTTACTATAAAAGTTTGATGTATAGATTTCATATCAGAATAGTATTTGTTGCTGTAGATATTTTAATTGTATAATTGCCACTTCCTTTGTCAGGGCGATATTAGGTTTTTAGAAGTTTTTAATAAGAGTTTTATCCCAATGGTACAAACTGTAAAAGAATGAACTGCTACAACACCTTTTCTAAGAAAAAATATTTTGGTCTAAAAAGACTTTTAGTTTTCCATTGGCTGCATCTTTTGTCAAACTGTTGGATCTTTGAAATCAGTTTTATAATATTCATCATTCAGAGAAGAAGCAATTATTTGGATTTGTCCTAGAAGGATCAAGCTGGCCTGAAATACCAATAGGGGGTGGCATGCCCCAACAAGCTACACTTTGGCCATGAGCTGCCCCAAACAGGATGAAATCCATGTGGCAGGTTTTAACCAGCAACACTCCATGGCCCCAATATCATTCCAGTTCAGCCTTGGGAATGTTGGCTAGACATTTAGCTTGTCCATTGATTTCAGTTCTTATTAATGATGCAGTGAACATCATCACTATACATACAGTTTTCAACCTATTTTTATATAGGAAAAATAAACTGAAAATAAAGCCTTTTAATATAAAATGCTGCTCAAGTTTTCTTTAGAAAAAGAAAAATCTGCTGCAAGGCTGTGTGCAGTGGCTCACGCCTGTAATCTAGCACTTTGGGCAGCCAAGGTGGGAGGATTACTTGAGCCCAGGAGTTTGAGACCCAGTCCAGTCAACATAGTGAGGTCCCATCTCTATATTT